GCCCTCGTCGCCGCTGAGCCCGGAGCAGCTGGTCCGGATCCAGAAGAACAAGGCAGCGGCCTTACTCAGACTCGCCGCCCGCAACGTGCCCCCGGGCTTCGGGGAGAGCTGGAAGCAGCAGCTCCACGGAGAGTTCGGGAAGCCGTATTTTATCAAGGTACACACGAGCGCCGGCGGCGGACTTGGCCCTGTTGACGTTCGAGGTTCGAGCCCCTATGGGTGCGCATGTCAGCATCCTAGCTCTTCTTTCCCCACCCGCAAAACAGACCCATGGTAGTTGGAGGGTTGGCGCCTGTGTTAGGTGCAGATTTAAGGACCGCCAAACCATAGTCACGAGAGGAGTCCCGGTGGCAGAGTGGGTTACGCGTGCAGGGCTGCTAAGGGCAAGGGCAAGGGCAAGGTAAGCAGTTCGCAACCACCAGCCGTGAGAGAAAGATGAGGCTGTTTGCGGAGTTACAGTCTTGGAAAGCCATCGGAGTACTCCTACCCTGCCCGGGGTCACTGTGAGTTACAATGGACTCGATGGCAGTGAGCTTGGGTTTTCGAGACGGTGGGTAGCCAAGAACCCTGATAGCATTGGTAAGTGCAAGGGTTGACAATTTGAACCTCCGGCTAGACCCTGGAAAAGAAGGGTGGGGCACTCCTCTTCCTTAAAGACTGCAGCCACGGAAACCCAATGGGGCCATTCTAAATCTCCCACAGAGTGGCTGGGAGCCCAAGTGGACTCCACACCGCAGAACCACAGGGTGGAAGTTATGTGCTGGGCTACCAGAACTGAAAGGCTGGCAGGTGAAACTCACCCATCCATAGGTACCTCGGAAGAAAGGCCTGGTGATCTGGCTTCAGAAAGATCTCAGCCTAGAGAACCCTATGCAGCACAGCTGTACTCTGCACCCAGGGGTCCCAGGGGTCTGAATAGACGCCACAGGCAACTAGCAATGGCAATAGAATGTGATACAGGCACATTTTAATCCAGGGAAGATTGGCAGGCGAAATCCACCAACGGGGCCCAATGAAACCTGGCGGCTGCTTTTCTTTCCTTTTTTAAAAGGCAGTAATAACTGCTTTTCTTTCTTTTTTTAAAAGCCAGTAATAAGAAAGGAAAGTAGCTGGGGAAGTGGTTTAATCCAGTGGAAGGGAGCGGAAAGCGAAGCCCACTGCCAAGTCGCCTGCATTCCTGCGAACCGAGAACAGCAGAACTGCCCCATCGTGTTTCCAAGGCCGTCAGCCTTTATGGAAGCAGACTGCTCCATCTCTGCCCCGCGGGTGGCTGGTGGACCCCAACCACTGACCTGTGATTACCTGTGGGGTGCTTTAACCACGGCGCCACCAGGGCTCCCTGGAAGGAAACCCCTGCTGTTACAACTCATAGAATGCAGCCTAGGGCAGGGCTGGGTAGGCCTGTTCTTGTGAGTTCCCAAGATGCTCAATTTTTTTTTTTTCTAAACCAGATCGGGCCCAAAGCTTTTTTCATTTCATTTATTAATTTCCTGTTTGTTTTTTTATTAATCACTTTATTGGGGGGGCTCTTATAAATCTTATAACAATCCATCATTCAATTGTATGAAGCACACTTGTACATATGTTGCCATCAACATTTCCAAAACATTTTTTTTCTACTTGAGCCCTTGGTATCAGGTCTTTTTTCCCCTCCCTCTGAGACGCTCAATCTCTACTGGAGAGCAGAAAGCTTCCTTCCTCTCCTGAGGAGTGGCGCGTGGTTTCAAACTGCTAACCTTGTAGTTAGTAGCCCAATGTATAACTCACTTGCCAACTGGGGCTCCTCCTTCAAAGAAAGGAGGGAGAGACCGGAATGGGATTTAGGTAGTTTGTTGTGTTTTATGAAAAAAGAATGTGCTTGTAGAATTTGCCAAAAAACTAGGTAATTCAGCTACGTTGTGTTAGAGGCTTTCTTCCGGAATTCTTTGGGCTTCCTCAAAGCCTCTGATTGGAATCCTAATTTATCTTTAAATCAGCTAATGGGATTTGTCGCAGAAGAGAGAAAACACCACACTGTGTATCCACCGCCAGACCAGGTCTTCACGTGGACCCAGATGTGTGACATCAGAGAGGTAAGGACAAGAAAGTGGTTTGTTTTCTTCAGCGAGCGGAGGCAGTAAAACATTGCTCTCTAACTAGGATACTCCAGGTAAGTCAAGGTCTGTAATCTGTAAGACGTAGACTGAAATTGGTTTGACTGGCTCAAAAAAAAAACACCCAACTTCAAACTTAAACTGCCACTGAGTCGATTCCGACTCATAGTGACCCTGTAGAACAGGGTAGAACTGCCCCTGCGGATTTCCAGGACTAACACTACAGGAGTAGAAAGCCTCATCTTTCTCCTGAGGAGAGACTAGTGGTTTTGAACTGCCGAACGAGCAGATCGCAGCCCAATGCGCAGCCCAATGCGTAGCCACTGTGCCACCAGGGCTCCTGGCTATATGTGAGTGAAGAATAGTATCTATTTAGTTCTAGATCGCAGCGAAAACATCCTTCTATTATCTTTTGAATTCCAGTTTCCCATGAGCTTGTTGCAGCCCCTCGCCTGTATGTTAGCGTGGATTTACACGTTAACTGTTGTTTTGTGCTGCGTCTGCAGCCAAAAAGAAAGGAAAAACCATGTGGCTGGAACAAGGGTCCGTGATTCTCATTTTTCTCTCCTTTTTGAAGAAGCTACTGATGGAATCTTTGCTTGCTGCACGTCAAACTCGGAAACGTACCGTTTCTACTTTTCAAGTCTTTCGGAGTCTATATTTGAGCATCTGGTTCTGGTATTCCATTTGCGTGAAGCTCACTCCATGCCACTATGAAGTATTGTGCTGTGAGTGATGAGAGCGGAGCCCTGGTGGCGTAGCGGGTTACGCTCAGGGCTGCTCACCATGAGGTGGGCAGTTTGAACCCACCAGGTCTCTCCATGGGAGAAAGATGAGGCAGGCTCCTGGGAAAGATTGACAGCCTCTGAAACCCTTGGGTGTGATCTACTCAGGGTCATGGTGAACTGGGGAGGACTTCATGGTACTGGGGTTTTTAGTGGGTGAGAGGATTACAGGCCTCCCTGTCTTAGTTGGTAGTACCAGGCCTAATGTTCAGAGTGGTCAACTAAAGGTCCTGTGTGTGCGGTGTCACTGGGGTGGCCCAAATGCTTAAGTAATCAACTGCTAAGGGAAAGGTTTGCTGTTCAGCTCCACATACAGGTTCCTCAGAAGGCACCCTGGTAATTGGCTTCTGAAAGGCCGCAGCCTTGAAAATCCCATGGAGCCCCGATCTGCTCTGATCATGTGGGGGGTGCCCAAGGTTGGACTCGAGGGCAACTGTTGGGGTTTTGGGGGATAGCTGGCCCCACCTCTGGCCCAGCGTTCTCTCTGTCCGACCACACTGTCCGTGTGGTCCGTGTGGCACTTTGAAGCTTCCAGCTGGTCCAATCTCCGTATCCTGTGAACAGATGCCTTTGGCTGTGGTCCGTCCTACTACACAAACGTTGCTGGTGGGTTCTGAGTAGCTTTGCGCCGCGTAAACCGTGCAGAGCCTGATCATGCACACCCGCTGTATGTGTGGCCATGTCCTCCTTCCCAGTCTCACGGTCACCTCATGAGTGGTGGACCAGTGTGGTGCCACCCTCTGTAGTTTGGTCTTGAAGACCGATTTCATAGGTCCATAGTGGGTACCTACTCGAAGCCTCTTAAGCCTTTCCTGGAAATCCCTGCCCTGTGTTTCGGGTCTGCTCCCTTGGGAGCACTTGGGGTTTGTCCTTTGTTCCCTCCCCGAGTGTCAGCTGGGGGCAGGAATCCTGTGGTGGACTCGAGGTCTATTAAACCAAACGGAAATGGAACAGGTGGATAAGCCCAAGCCTCCTGGCAAAACAAGCCGCACCTGAGATGCTTTCAGACATCGCAACGTATTACCTTGAAGCAAGAATTTGGGTCGTGTTGAGTTCAGATCGACTTGTGGCCTGAACGAGAAAGTCACCCATCCAGAACCAGAGCCCTGAACACAAAAGCCGTCCCTCCGAGAACAACCTGCTTCCCTGCAGAAAATACACCAGGGATTTAAAGAAAAGAAAAAAAGAAAAGCCAAATGCACTGCCACGGGACAGAGTAAAACTTCTTCTGAGGGTTTCCCAGACTACCGCCTGACCGGGAGTCTTTCTCCCCTGAAACAGATGGGGGTTCCAAACTGCTGACCATGCAATAAACCTTACTCTAAGTTTTTGGAAAAGATAAGGTATCAGCTGTGGAGGAAACCGGAAGCCGCTGGGCAAAACCATGAGAATGACAGAGAAGATGGGTGTCCAGTAGACACAAGGTCAGCGCTCCCATTTCCAGGTCTCCAGAACCTCGCTCCTCCAGCTCTCCTCAGCACTCATCCAGGAGGGAAATGAGGGGCATGGGCATTCTCCCGGCACTTGCTGGGACGACTTGAAATGGCCCCACTTCACTGAAAAGTGATTTGGGGAATCGATCTAAAGCATATTCTTTGATCAGTATCTCCAGTCTTAGAAATGAAAGGCAGAATTTGGGGTGCCGAGAAGGAATAGCCTGGGAACGTGCCGGTTACACACGTCTTGAAAGATGACCAAAATGTCGGATGAGGAAAATAAGAAGCATTGGGCGGTGGGTATCAGACAGCTGGGGGGTTTGCAAGGGGGAGATTGGAGTGGGATGGGCTGACCTGCGGAGAATGGACACCCCGGTTTGTCTTGGATGGCGTGTTTACTTGTGCATGTTGTACAAGCCGATTATCGAGAGGCAGGGCCATTGGGATGCCGAGACCCATTTGTCCCCACAAGTAGCGGTTCCAAGGAAGTTCTCCCATCCTTGGGGCGCTCAGTTGGGTCAGGAGGCGATGGCCTTCTGTTTCCAGTGAAACCCCCAAACCCACTGCCTTCGAGTGGACGCCAACTCCTAGCGACCTCGTAGGACAGAGGAGAACTGCCCAGAGGGTTTCTGAGGCTGGCTGTTGGCCTTCGGGGAGCACACTGCCATAGCCGAGGGCCTCATGGGTTCAAAGCACAGACCTCTGGGTTGACGGCTAGGCACTTAACCCACTGTATCACCACTGCATCACCAGGCACTTAACCCACTGCATCACCAGCGTGCCTGGGTTAACAGCCAGGCGGGTGTTCATTCAGTGTCTCCCACAGTGGGGGATGCTGTCATGATCCAGGGGTTGGGGTGGTAGCCGTGGGTGCAATTGGGGGTCATTGAATAAAACTTAAAGGGGCGTTGGAAGCATGAACTGTTAGTGCATGTCTCATCTGTTTGCAGACAAGGGCTGCAGGCAGGCCAACCAAGTTCAGGAACCGCTGCCTGCACTATGGTCTTGTTCTAACTCCCTACCATCTGGTGTTTGCAGGTGAAGGTCGTCATCCTGGGCCAGGACCCGTATCACGGACCCAACCAAGCTCACGGGCTCTGCTTCAGTGTGCAGAGACCTGTGCCACCTCCACCCAGGTACAGTCATGCTGCAGATGGTGCCGTGGCGGTCCTGGGGGCCTTCAAATGTGAATGACAGGCCGGTAGAAAGGGTGGCTTTGAACTGCTGACCTTGCAGATCTCAGCCCAATGCATAGCTACTACGCCACGGGGGATCCTAAACACTTGAGACTAAGTAAATGAGCAGGTAGCGACCATCTCTCACAAATGCGGCTTCCAGCTGTATTTGATTCTACGCGTGCGTGCGTGTGTGCGAGTGAGTATACATGGAGCCCTGGGGGGGTTGCATTCGCTCTGGGAGCAGGGTTTCTCTGCCTCATCCTCCATCCTCGAGGCAAGGAGCTGCCTTTGTGTGGGACTGCCCTGTCCTGCCTTGTGTCTCCTGGGACAGTTTGCAACATCCCTGCCGTTAGAGGGCAGTAGCACCCTTCCCCCACTCCAAAACATGTCCATAGATAACTACCTGGCGTCCCCCTGGGGGCTAAAGTTGCCCTCTTTTAGAACCACCCGCTACCTTGGAGGGTTATATGAGTGCAGTAAATGCCAAGCTCACTGACTCTGAGTTGATTCCAACTCCGGTGACCCTATCTGTCAGGGTAGAACTGCCCACATAGGTTTCTTGAGTGTAATGTTTCACAGAAGTAGAAAGCCTCTTCATTCTCCTTCCGTGGGCCTGGTGGTTTTGAACCGGTATATATATATATATATTTTTAATCACTTTACTGGGGACTCGTACAGCTCTTATCACAATCCATACAACCATTGTGTCAAGCACATTTGTACATTTGTTGCCATCATTTTCAAAACATTCGCTTTCTACTTGAGCCCTTGGTATCAGCTCCTCATTTTCCCCCACCCACCCTCCCTCATGAACCCTTGATAATTTATAAATTACTTTTTTATGTTTTACACTGACCGATGTCGCCCTTCAGCCACTTTTCTGTTGTCCGTCCCCCTGGGAGGGGGTTATATGTAGCTCATTGTGATCGGTTTCCCCTTTCTCCCCGTGAACTGCTGATCTGTGGTCATGGTGTCCAACCCACGACCCGCTCTGCTCCAGGGCATCCTGTGTGCATGCGCACTTGAAGCTAAACTATGCTCATTTGTGAGACAGTGGCTGCCTGGCTCCTTTCCTTAGGTCTCCGCCAAGTGTGCAGGAGCCGTGGTGGCGCAGTGCTGCGTGCGGGGCTGGAACCCGCGAGGTTACAATCTTGGAAACCCGGGGGCAGTTTCACGGTCACTCGATAGCAGTGAGTTGGTTTTGGCTTGAAGTCCACACCGGGGTGGGGGTGGGGATATTGGGCAGACAGACTGGGCTGTCAGAGAAGACTGGGTTTACCTCCTGGCTTTTGGAGCTCTGGAATCCACCCCACAAGGACTCGGATCAGACTTTTCACTCTGACCTGTGCTGGCTGGATTCCATTGGTTGCTGCCCTGCTCTGCATGGCTGAAAGGCGGAGGGGTAAGCGTGCAGGACTTAACCTCTGACCTTTTGACAGGTACCCTCTGCAGCTAGTTGCCGGCTCTGCAGAATTATGCTGAACGTGCTCTCTCTGTTCCTCCTGTCTTCCAGTTTGGAAAACATTTACAAAGAGCTGTCCACGGACTTGGATGACTTTGTTCCTCCTGGTCATGGAGATCTGTCTGGATGGGCCAAGCAAGGTAACCATGTTTCATGTTCACTCCCGGTAGCCATGGGGATGACGCAGCAGCTCACTGAGGGCCCCCTCACTTTTGGAGGGCCCCGACCAACCTCGAGGCTCTTTTCTACCTGGGGGTCCAAGCGAGGGAGTTGAGGTCTGTTCATCCTCGCCTCCGGGGAAGACTCTGGTTTGACTTCTTCTGTTCGTTCTACTGGCGTGTCGAATCTCTGTGCCGACCCGCAGTGGGAACACCTCCAACCCAACCATGGCTAGATACGCTTGTGTCCCTTTCAGCAGCTTTCTTTCCATCCGCTTGTTGTGTTTTCAGAGCGCGCTATAAAAAAAGACTAGCGCACTCTCATAAAATGGTTAAATCGTATGTGCTTAAAATTCGATGTATTTAATTTTTATGTGTTTCATTTCATTTTAGTGAGGCAGCAGAAGGGTAAGATCATATCTATTTTCTTAGTTTAAGGAGGCTTGGCATTGAGCTGCTACCTGGAAGGCCAGTGGTGTGAATCCATCGGTCTCTAGTGGGGGAGGGGGAGGAATGAGGCTGTGTGCTCCCGTCAAGATTGAAGAGTGTCAGAAACCCAAAGAGAGAGTTCCGCTCAGCCCTGTAGGCTCACTGTCAGTCAGATAAGCCTGGTGGCAGAGAGTCGATGTTTTCTTTCCGGTTGTAGTCCTCTGGAAGAGGAAAATGTGTTTTTTAGTGTGGTGTTATTAATGCTTTAAGTTTTCACTCAAAGATTCTTCATTGGGAGCCTCAGAAGCGCATGCTAAATTTCAGCGTCCGTGCGTATATGTACACACATGTACGTATGTACTTACAGGACCTGTCATTTACTTTGTTGGTTTTTACAAGAATCCATTGGCTATACAATTGGAATAAAGGGGGAAAGAATGTACGGGGGTTGGAGCCCTTAGCTACTAACCAGAAGGTCAGTGGTTCAAGTCCACCAGCTGGCCCCTGGAGGACACAGGTGGCAGTTGGCGCTGTAACGGTTTGCAGCCTGAGAACCGTGAGGGGCTGTTCTGATATGTTCTGTGAGGTCACAGGGTCGAGATTGACTCAGTGGACCAGTGGGCTTTGCTTTGGGTTTGCTTATACAATCAGAGCGTGGAAAACATATTTCCTTTTTTGGCTGTTGTACTTATTTGTTGTTTTCTTAGTATTTTACTGTGCTTTCGGGGGAAAGAAGCCGGCAGAACCCATTCGACCATCCCCCCACATGTGTTGAAGGACGATGGTTGCGGTCTTGAACTTGTGTTAGCATTGTCATTAAACCATAAGGTTCTTTCGCTGCTTTTCTGGTAGCTTCTTATCGTGGTCTCACAGAACCCAAGCCTGGCATCTTTTACTTGGCGCTCGAACCAGCTATTTAAAGATGAGGAAAGGGCATAGTTCGCATTGGGGTCTAAAGAGTACCGCAGGGCCAGAGTGTGAGGGGAATCCAGCCCCTAACACATCATCACGGGTCTGGTAGGTGCAGTTGTACAGCGATAATAAGTAAAGATTATAGTAAAGTCATAGAGAGCATGAGAGATAGGAGATTGAAATAATGGAGTCAGACACATTTCATGGTAGCATGCTCACCCCAGCCCCGCTGCTTGGTGGACCACATGGAGAGGGAGACCAGAGGGCAGGAGAGAGGGGGAGGGGAAGGAGGACAAGGGGAAAGAGAACAGGAGAAGAGAGGGAGCCCAAGAGAGAGCTCTTTACTGCTAACCCAGGCCTATATATCTTTGGGGGGGTGCAAGCCCACTAATTACAGGTAAAGACATCCCTCACAGGAAGGGGTTGCACCATAGGTTATACAGCAATGAGAGGGGGACAATCTAGGGATATACACGCAATAGGAAGAGGAGGGATTAAGGGTACATGTGACAAGATGGGCAGATCCTAGATTCAGGATGGCAGCCTAACTTTGGATGTCACTGAGCCTGTTTGACCTGTTTCCTGGCTCAACTGTAGAGACCATTATCAGTAGGGTGTGAACTCCACCCACAGGAACCAAATGGATGACTGCAAGCCTTTAGGGAGAAGTAGCCCATTGTCCTTAGCAGCAGGGAGCAGGCCTACCCACCCAGTGGTGGGACTAGACAGTTGTCTGGCAACTGACTGCCTTTAAGGAGGTAACTTGTCAATTATTTACCCTTAGCTGCAGTGTCCCAAGTCTTAACATATTTGGGGGGAGACGCTTGGGAGAAATCTTACTGTTTCCCACACCAGAGCGCAAGGGTTCCCACATCCTTGGTGGTTCCTGGCCAGTGGATTCCCGCGTCAGTGCCATTCTGAGTGACATTGACTTGCTTCTGCTGTTTAACGCTGGCTTGTGTAAGACAAAGCTGTCGGAGGAGGAAGACTCCGCGCATGCCCCTTGGAAGGAGTGGCAGAAAAGGAGTAAAGAAGATGGGCACCATCTTCAAAGGACGGTATCGGCCACCTGGGGAGACTCATTTCTGTCTCTCTGCAATGACCTTTGAGTTTGGGGAACCCAAGGGGCCAGAGCAGGACCGTTGGGTGGATCTGAACTAAGGTTTTCCCATAAAATTCCTGTCGCAGGGCCCTTGCTCCCTCAAAGGGGCTGGGGCAGTCGTGATGGAAAAGGATTTCTCAGCAAAAACGTCCTGGCCTTTGGCTCGCCAGCATAATTTTCTATTTTCTTAAACCTTCCTCTGTCCTGTGAGAACATCTATTTTGATTACCAACTGCCCCTGCGGGGTTTCTGACACTGTGACCCCTCATGGGAGTAGAAAACCTCATCTCTGATGGCTGGTGGGTTGGAACGGATAACTTTTACGGTCAGCAGCCCAGTCTTTGGCCCACTGTGAGTGCCTTCGTGCGAGCGTGCACATGCCCAGCCGCCGGCCCTAGGACTCCTATCCAGACTGTCCCTTAGGAATCCCTGTAAACAGTCCCCCTAGCCTTCCGAGCCGCATTCTCTGCCGTCAACTCACCCAGCAGATCCCCACAGATGCTACTGTTATGAGATTTTTTTTTAAGGCACCTTACCATGATGGAAATAAGCAAACTCGCTGCCATCGACTTGACCCCAGCTCATAGTGCCTCTACAGGACAGAGCAGAGCGGCCTCTGGGTTTCCCAGATGGCCACTCTCTCTGGAAGTAAAGTGAGCGGCGGGTGGTTTCAAACCGCTGACCTTGTGCTTAGCAGTCCAACACAGAACCGCTACAGCACCCCGGCTGAAGACAAGTGCAGCCATCCACTGATGGCAGGGACAGGTTCCAGCCCATTTTTGCAGTCAGCCCGTGCAGAGGCGGACTGGAACCTTAGCCACAAGACTTTTGGACTCAACCCTGTATCTCCCAGGGTGGTCGAAAGTATGGTAGCCCGCCAATGGAAGACACCGTTCTTCCCGGGGACAGTGGTAGCGAGTGGGAGCGGTGACCTGACAGGGCAGAGCTGGCGACAGACTGCCCCGTGACCTGATCACCCAGAGGGCACGTGCTTGTGTCTCCACTGCCTGCCGCCC